TGAGAGGTAATTAAAATAGCTACGTGTGATATTCTAACCTGAAGTGTGTGTTTTGTCCGCTCACCGCTGCATGTGATCATGCAGAGCTGCGTGTCAACTCGTCAGCAGCAGCTGATCTCTCTCTCCCGTCAGATTAGACTTCACTCGCGTTTATGTCCATATTGATCAGATCTAGCTAGTTCTAGCTAATGACATGACTACCAGCTTATTAAAAGACACCTAAACAATAAGTATCGCTATGCAACCGGGTGAGGCCACAAAGTATAGCGCAGCATTATGCATTTGTTTACATGCCCACCGGAACCCCGAGGCATTACCAACAGATCAACGCACAATCAACCCATACAGCACATCTCTTTCTCCACATTAAGTGTTAGACATTAGAATTGACTATTCTTGTCTGTCACATACTCTTCTTGTCTGTCACATAAGTGGCGCAACTCAAGCGGTATTGCGCTAAAGGGAAATTATTTTGACCGAAGAGATTTAGATTTGCCGGCTAATGGGAACTCTGATGTCGCCATTTTGTGTGCTTGCGGATGCGCTCGGCTCCTCTCGACTGCTGCTCGGGTCTGCTCGGTCAGCTTCCGGATGAGGAGGCATTCGTTCGACCAACTTACAGTAGATAACATTACAAACATTTTTAACAGGGGCCATAATAGTGTAAATAATGTTTGTTTTGGCAGTTATAACTGAATGTAATGTTTTCTACTTTTTTACATCTGGGAAGACATTTGCCTTCATCAGATAGAAAGTGTCTTGACCAACAACTTAAGTATTTCGTATAGCTATGCAGGGCATGCAAGAGAGCAAACAAACAAGTGAAATGAAGAATAAAATTGAAATTGTACAATATAATATTGTGGTGGTTCATCTTATAATTCAGTCTAGAGAATGCACCAGACAGCATCTAAGACCTGCAAAAATCTAAATGTTCTAGGGGGAGGCCCCCCAAACCCTTCGTGCCATTTCGTCCGCGCGCATTTTTCAGGGCAATCTCTATTGGGCTCAGGGCCATCTGTAAATTAGCTTAGATGGCACACAGGGCGCACGCACACACACACACACACACACACACTTGAGAAGTCCATTTACATGAATTGAACATTAAAACAATGACCGGAAGAAATAAAGCATTTAAGTTTCAATAATCTTTAGTGTTGGTGCGGACACTAATAAACGTGAAGGTACTTGTAATCAAGGTTTGTTAATGTGTGTACGTTATCTGGACATTAATGCAGAACTGTTTGTACAGCAAATTTCAAGTCAAAATTATAAAATAATTGGGATTTCTATATTATTCCAATGATCAGGAAAATCTGCTTAAGTCTAAAAATAGGTACTGGAATTATTTGACCCTATATTTTGTAAGGTAAGAAATGATTTCTTGTCACAGCAAGGATAGATATTTCTTTATTAGTACTTACATAAAGGACAACATACGGTGTTGAGTGTGTGGTTCTTTAGGAGACTTCCTGTGTTGCAGCAGCACCTGCTTTGTGTTAATGCAGCCCTGTGTTCTGCCTGCAGGCCACGTGCTGGCGGAGGAGGAGGCCCGCAAGGCGCACCACCTGTGGCTCTCTGTGGAGGCTCTGAGCTTCACGCTGAAGACGGCAGAGGCGGACGTGCCCACGAAGCCTCTGGAGGGCGCCGCCCAGAGCGTGCGGGACAGCTGCCATGACAACAACTTCGCCCTGGCGCTGGCCTCGGCGCTGCCCGAGGAGTCGCTGCAGCGCGGCGTGTACAGCGAGGCGTCTCTGCGCGCTCGCTTCAACGCGCTGCGCTCGCTGGCCCGCCGCGTCGCTCTAGTCGATGAAACTCACAACTCCCTGTACCAGTACTTCCTGTCCTACCTCCAGGCTGCACTGCTGTTCGAGGATAAACAGGAAGCCCCCCCCGCCCAGCTGAGCAGTGACGACCTGGATCCATTCAAGATCCTGTCGTACGCCAGCTTCTGCTTAGAGCACGGAGACCTGGAGCTGGCCGCCAAGCTGGTGAACCAGCTGAGAGGAGAGGCCCGTCGCGTGGTGGAGGACTGGCTGACGGAGGCCCGGCTCACCCTGGAGACCCGGCAGGTGGTCAGCCTGCTGTCTGCCTACGCAAACGCTGTGGGGCTTGGGACCACCCAGGCCCCCTAGGCTGGCCCTCAAAGGAACAGCCACTGAGAATGTGAGGAGAGCTGCAGGCTCACAGGGAGCAGAGCGTGGAGCAAAACAGCCGAAGAGGCTAGAAGAGATTTCCAGTGGTGTATTCCTTTGGAGTTGGCTAAAGTTAAGGAAGAGGTTCATGTTCAGATACAACTGAAGTTTATTTGCTTCAAAGCACTACGTCACTGTGGAGGATCATTTGTAAAATAAAATGAATGCACCTTCTCCTCTCGTCTGTCCAGGCCCACAGCCTTTGCTTCAGGTATTTATTTCTAACCAACCCCCCCCCCACCAGCCTAATACCCCCACTGATTGAAGAATATGTAATGCTTGATTTTATGTTTGTCACAACTGCATATGTTTCAATAAATCATGAAGAATGGTATCTGCTCTGTTCTTTCTTCACTCAACTCTCTTTCACTGTCAAAAGAAAAGAATAATAATCCATTCCATAATTACTGTCTGCAGTCAGTGAACTGTATACATTTACTTAAACAAAAACTAAATGTCACTACTGTAAATTGTGACACCACAGAACATACTTTGATTTCAAAGGGCATGTCGTTTGGAGATTTGCTTGGTGTTTTATTCTTCCATCAGTCAGGGCACATCTGAGTGGACTTATATCTTTGAAAAACAAGTGCACATCCAACGTAGAAGAAACAAGTAGCAGCATTATGAAACTGAAGATGATAACAAGACTCCAGGAAGTGAGTGGTGTAACATATTTAGACTAGAATGAAGTCCTTCTAAATTCTTTCAACTGGACACTTCTGGATACATCGATCCCACCATCATGGAATGAAGCAGTTATCAAGAGGGCAAACATCAAATGTTATGAAGCTCAGATAGGCCGATCTCAATCCTAAATCAGGACCATAAACTTAATGTGTCCATTATTTCCAAAAGGCTAGACTCTTATGGCGCATTTACACTGCAGGCCTCGCTCGGTTTGGTTAGGCCCGGCTCACTTTAATGCTGCGCTCACATTAAGTTTAGGAACTGGGGTAGTATCTATAGTAACGCAGTGTAGGCGGAGCCGTGACGTCATCTTCAATGAGCGCCCCAGAAAAACAACACAACCGTTAGCTCTTAGCACATAGAGCTCACAGCTCTTCATATCTGTTCAGAAACTAGACAAAATGTAAACAAGTACAAACCACAGACTGCCTGTGTCATGGCGAATACAGTCGCTGGTTTATTTATGTCTGTAGGCCGTTGTTGTGAGTGTGGACGGTCTGAGCATATATAACGTTAACTTAGCCAAGCTCCATTTAGAAAACACGCATTTTAAAAGGTTTTTCGCCTCCCGTCTGTCTGCAGACTTGTCAAAGCATTAATTCATGGTTTTTACTAACCGGTATCAGTATGTTGTTACTTCGGCATCATTTTGAAACGTGAATTACAATTAAATCACGGTAAAATATGTTCATCTTGTTGTAGTTGTAGCCCCCTTGACAGCGATTCTCTCTCTAGTTTAGCAAACTCAGCCCGACTCAGCCCTGTTTGTTGGCCTCGATAGAACCACGATTTAGTCTGGCCAGAAAAAAGGTGAAAAAGTAGC